TCCAAAAGCGACAGTTGCTTCGTTATAAATTATACAATAATTTGTTCTTGAAATTTTGCATTTTTGGGACTTTGAAAATTGCATTCCCCCCCCCCCATCATTTATCTTGATTTTTATTTTTCGTTGTTGTCAGTATATTGTGTTTGTTATAGTTTTATACACGTGTTTTTATAAGGTAGCTCAGTAAGTTTTCGCGTTTATTTCAGGTCTTTATGGAATTCTTTTGTGGAAAACCAGATTAGTCACAATTTTAAAACAAAATGCCTTTATTGCATTAAAAAAATCGAATTTATTTCTCCAAATAAGATACCACAGATAACCCAGCTAAGTCCTGTGCTATGTAAGATAAAAGAAATAGTCTACTCATCGACTTTTATATGTGAATTACATGTTTTCTGCTTTCTTATTAAATTGTGACGTATCTTGTTTTTCTATTGGAGTCTTCATATATGTTCGTCACTGTTCTTGGCCTCACTAAAAAAAAATCGTTTTTTTTCCCACAGTTTCTGTCGGGGAAGTTGTTCACCCTCACCTTTGTTGACTCTCCATGTAAGTACATTTTGCTAATTTGTTCAGTAGATGTCAACACGAATAAAGCTGAAAGAGCAGTGAAAGCTTTATCATGCCTAAGAAAACACTATCACGAGCAAGCAATCTTTGGTAATATTTTAGGAGGTTTTTAAAAGAGATGATGGATTCTGACAATGGGGAACAGCTCGTTGTGTAGTCAACAGTTACTGTACTCTGGCAGTGGCAGTCTTAACTTTTCAAGCGCTGACTGCATGGGGTGGGGGGGGGGTCAATAACTTTGTTTTAAAATGTTGTCTGGTGTTTAGTTCCTTTTAAAAAAAAGTGTTCTTAATTTCCAATCGACAAAATACTATGTTTCCCTTCCTCAATTAAAGAAGCTTGAATAGCTTCAAACAGTCCCACAGGTTCTGACTAGGCCTACAAGCAGCTACAAGGAACTTGCTATTACCAAGGGGAGCCAGTTAGACCGGAAATGAGGCCTGTTGTACAGTCTTGGTGTTGTTCTGTCTTGGGTAAAGCGGTGTTCACACATACAGTAGTAACGAAGCCGAGTAAGACAAAATTTCTAAGCCCAGCAAGTCGGGGCAACTCTGCATACATTTCGACGAGCAATCGGCCTCCCTCCTAGAGTGATATTTCATGCTTGCCGTGTGAAATTATTACACGGGAAGCTTGCCGAAATTTTCAAACAAGCTTAAAATAAAATTTTCGCAGAGCGAAAAATGAGTCGCTGAGTCAATATAATAACTCGCTCGGGGAAAACTCGGGGAAGACTTGGGGAGTGTCAGAAATAGCAAGGCGTGAAAAGTTGCAT